ATAGTTACAGTTATAACACTTTACAGTAATTTTAAACACACCATTCATGTGTTTTTAAAGTCTACTGTAAATTAATTTAAAATTCGATATCTTTATGGTATTAGAGCATAGACCTGTTGTGATGTTGCCTTGGTCACCTACTCAGCTCCTCGATCTACATCTTGACAGGGATATTGTCCCATATAGGCCCAAGAAAAATGTGGACATGTAGGGCTCAAATGAAATGAAATGGGAACAAAAAAGAAAAGGGTAAAAACCCAATAATTCTCTCTTGTCACTTAATGGAAAAAAACATTTGGAAAAGAAAATATGAAAAAATATAGAAAGCAGAGGACATGAGTGGGAAAACCAGGCTAGAAAGCAGAAACTAGCCCCATTTATTTGCTCATATATGCTGCATCTATCTCTCATACCCTTTTATGTGCTGGAGCAGATTACATATAGAAAAAGACACTGAAATAAGATCAAGTGTTGTGGATATTGATCTTTAACAAGATTCCTGCATAAAATGTCCTACGTAATAGTTGTAATTAATATCGTTTGGTGTGTTTTATATATATTATGCTGATCAATAATATCTAATGGCTCCAATGATTAGATGATGGGGAGCTAGCCTTGGTAGTTGATGATCGTACGGACACCTTAAAACCCCCCTTTTATAACGAACAAATTAGGGGGGAAAAAAAGAGAGGAAAGTTTGATCATTGAGGCAGAAGACATCACCATTATATGAAAATGATAGCCTCCATATGTTGTTGCTTTCATGATGTTCAGGTTGGAACAAAATGAAGCATTTCTAATACTAAGAATTAGATTCACTTGTAAGTAAATGTAATTTTATAGATTAGATATATAGTTTAAATTTTGATCTTAGTACTAAAAAAAATTGATTTTCTTGAATGTATTTTTGGTACATTTTTCTTGAATGGATTAAATTGACATAGAAGTATATTTCTAAAATTATTTTTAAAAAAATTAGTTTTATAATATAAAAGTTAGCTCAAAACACTTGATGGTAAATAAAAAGAACAAAAAACAAAAAGATGAAGCATTTTTAGTACTCTTTTGTTGTCTTGCTAATTTTTGTTTCGTGATGGTTAGTAGTGCATTCATACTCCATCTTCCATCCCCGCAAGTGTTTTTTTTTTTCTTTAATATTAAATTTTATAATAAGAGATAATTTTTTCTTATTTTTTAATAAAAAATGATATTTGTACAATCTTTTTACCTTACATTTTTGTATAATTTGACATGTTATTAAAATGATTGATTCTTTTAATTTATGTGGGACTTATGAAATTAAATGTATTCACTCATTTAATAACATGTGAAAGTTGTATAAAAATGTGAAATAAAAAGATTATCCCAATAACACCACTCTAGCTTTTTTAATCTATTCCATTATGTGACTTAAATTTACAATCTTTTTACTTTCACTAAAAAAAATATTTTTAGATTATTTAAGTTGTTGATAATATTTTTTTTATTAACAATTAGATTAGTATATTGACTCAACAACTTAACTTAATTGATATAAATAACGCTACCTGCACCATTTCTTTTAAATTAAACAAGTTAGTGTTTAAGACAATAAAATAAAATAAAATAAAAACCCTTTACCTCCAGAGTGTGTGCAAATAATTCATTAACAAATGAAATTCTACAAGCGTGGTTTATCGTCCAATGCAAGTTGAAAATTGATGGCTACCAATATGTTTCAAAAATTGTCAATTCGATTGCATTCACATACTATCATATTATTTATATGTAACTTTTCGTGGCAAATTACGTCTTCCATCAGCCTCCGAACTTATTTAATTGAGAAAAAAAATATATAAAAGACTACAGAGGAAGAGTCCAATTTGGATTCTTTACCCTTAGCTTATTTGATTGAGAGGAGGGAGATAAATTTTTTATTTGAATAATAAAAAAAAAATTAAAGGAGATGAGAAGAGAATAGAAAGAAATTTTATTTTTTTATTTTTTATTTTTTTCAAATCAAACAGATATGGGAGTTAAATTGACCCCTTCTTTCTTTTTGTTTTCTTTGATTTTTTTTCTTATAAAATGTGTTCTATTATTTTTTTTAAAAAAAATGTATTTTACACTTCAGATTATTATAAAAAAAATCTTGTTTTCAGTCATTATTTTATTTTTATATATATAAGGACACATATCATGTGTTGTGTGACTTAGTTAATATTATTTATATAATATATTATAATCATGTTATTAATCATAAAGCTAGTTTATATGACCTTAATTTGTTTACATTTCAAAAATATAATATGCAATAGATTGTGGTGAATTTTTTTAACTCCAACATAACTTAGTAGCAATTTGAAATTTTTTGGATTAATCTCTTTTAGCTACCTAGGGAGGAAAGGTGGGAACATGAATATTAGTGGTTTTTCTTTTTTTTTCTTTCTTTCTTTCTTTTGGAGTTTCCAATAGTTCTGATGCAAACTTTAAAATGTCATGACATAGATGGTGTAACCACTATTTTTATAAATTAATAATAATAAAAATAATAGAATTGTAGTATTTGAATCCATTTACAATTACTTTGTGTCAATGTAACTATTGGGTTTTAAGTACATAGGGTGTTTTGGGGATTGGGTCATAAGGGTTCTAATATTTTTTTAGGTATTTTAGTTGTCCCAATTTTTTAATTGGTTAAGGATTCCCTTTGTCTTCCTTCTCTATAAAAGCCCTAACCGCCTCCAACAAGGTAACAACCCACAAACCTCTCATTTTCCACTTAAGGCAGCCATGCCCTACTCTACAGTTGGTGCCGCCGACATCACTAACGGAGTCACCTCCGTTGACTGCCAGAAACAAGTCCGGTCATGGCGTCTCCTTCGTTCTCTGCTAGAGCTCCTCATTCCCAGCTGCAACTGCTTCTTCATAGAAGGCCAAGAAATCAAACGAGAAAATCACCTCCATAATTTCTATCATACTCCAAAACCCAACTTCACTTCTCCAACCACAATCACCGGCACTATTTTCGGTTACCGTCGGGGAAAAGTAAGCTTTTGTATCCAAGCAAACTCCAATTCCAGCAACCCAATTCTCCTCCTTGAATTCGCCGTCCCAACCACCGTTTTGGCCAGAGAAATGCAAGGTGGCATCCTCCGGATTGCGCTAGAATCCACAGGAGGACACAACACAAATTCTCAGTCACTTTTATCCATGCCGGTGTGGACTATGTATTGCAATGGAAGGAAAGTCGGGTATGCAATGAAACGCAGACCATCGAAAACCGATATGGATGCGCTGAGGCTGATGAGTTCGGTGGTTGTTGGGGCGGGAATGATCAGCGGAAAAGAACTGGATCATGATGATGAACTCATGTATCTGAGGGCCAACTTTGAGAGAGTTCGCAGCTCGTCGGATTCTGAGTCCTTCCATTTGATTGACCCAGAAGGAAACATCGGTCAGGAACTTAGCATTTTCTTTTACCGGTCAACGTAAATTAAAGTTTTTACTCACTACTTCGATAATTGGACTATACAATAAGAAAATAAGTATGTTTTTTTCTCCATTTCTTTCCATCAATTTCAAGATTCAATTTCAAGATTTAAATTTGAGATCTCTAATATAGATTTTTAATTTTTAACTACTTGAAACATCTTTAAGCAATAACTTATGTGAATTAAAGTTGATTTTTCCCCTTTGGAGAAGTAATTGGGGTTTTTTTTAAGGGAAGGCAAGTTCCCTTTGCCAGTTTGCCCCAATAGGGTTCATACAAATATTCTGGGGATGCCCTGGAGTGTTTGGGGTTTGTTGTATAATAACCAGTTTTTGTCTACCTTTTTAAGCTGTGCTTATATTATGCATAGCTTTGTTAATTTGGTACAGCAAGCTTGTATATATATTTCCAGTGAAATAATATAAGAATATGTTTTGTGCATGGTAATGTTACATGGCAATTAACCATAAAATAACAAAAAAAATTTGTTACATGGCAATTAAATCAATTTCATTTTTTTTCCTTTGTAAAACTTTGAGTGGTGCTGTGGGGCGGTTTGTTCAAAACGGGGATGATGTTTGTTGAGCTGTTTGTTTGCAAAACTTTGAGCTGTTTGTTTGTTGATTCCTTTTGTCCGTTTCCCTACGAAATGGACAAGAGAGCGTGTGTAGTGTTGTGTCATGTGTGTGCACTGTGAAGTGTGCACATGAGAGCAACATTGGTTTTAGGTGAAACTTTAGGGAGATAATGGCTAGATTTAATATTTGCTTTATTAATTATATGATATTAATTCTTCTTTTTCTACATATGAATGATTCCAAAGTTGACAAATGAATTTAGTTTGTTTTTACAATTTTGCCTCTGAGGCTTCAAACTTACTTTTAGGTTAATCAAGTCCTTATGTTAGTATGTTATAGTTAGGTTTATAGTTGTTCATATACATTGGTTAGGGATTTGGGAAAAAAAGGGATATTATATATTTTGTATAATTCATTATTTGATATATCATAAAAGATAGTTATACATATACTATAGTATGTCTTTTTCTTCTTTTAATGGGTGTAACTCAGGATTAATCAACATATTATAAACTCACAACCTTAATAATTGAATTTGTTGGTACATAAATATTGTCTTGTAAGTCAAGTTTAAAATTCATGTTTCAAAGTTAATA